CAAGCAGCCACGTGCTTTCGTTTGGCTGTTCCTCTGTTGGAAGCAACTTTTTTTATTTCTTCTGTCTTGCAGCTCCGATGCTTGTTAAGGTTAGCCTTATCCATTTTTGTAGACTTTATAGTTAGTGGAGTAGCAGATATCCTCCTGCTAAAACTTAATGAAGCTGATTCTAGCTACAAAAGATTATTGTTAAGGGAAAAAAGAGAAAAAGGAAAAAGCATAAGGCCATAGAATGAATACCACACCATAACATCATCCCACAGATTTGAATCTTGTTTTTATCTTCTAACTCTATTTTATCTAAATTTGAAACAATCCCTAAATTTCTATCCGCTACAATCAAATACTAATCTACTTTATAGTTCTTTTTTTTTTTTTTTTTTTCTGTTCATGTCACATTAACGCATGCTTGACTTGATTTTTTTTCGTTAGATCTGATTTTTTTTTTTTTATCAGATTCTTCAGTAAAAAAGTACAAAATGAGCATAACTATTTATTATTTTACTATTTCTTCCATGATATGATTTATTTTTTAAATAATAAAATATGAATCAATTCAAAATATAGTTAATTTCAATTAGTTTCGTTATAAAAACCCTGCCGACAACCTTTTACATAATATGACAAAATTACATTCAAGGTTCAATTTCAATGTTAATGCAAGACTTAAAAGAGTAATCATTTGACTAAACAAAATCGACAAAAGCCAATATAAAACATCTAGGGAAAACCCACATTCAATTAAAGTTAACTGCCACCTTCCTTTAGAGATTCCTACAACACAAGAGGTAAACAAAGCTTGGGACATCATCATACCAAAAAACCACAGGGCATACGGTGCAAAACAAACACAGCCATTTACCATCTACCACACCCAAATCTCGATTGTTAACAGCATCCAACGCTTTGTCCTGCAGGGTGATCCAGCTTCCTCCCCCACCCGTAGACTCCAACCTGCAATTCACCAGCTGCAACCAAGAATTCCACGGCTTGTTGTGGGGTCAGTAATTCCACAACCCTCCTGATTGTTCTCAGCCGTAGATCATCTGCCTTCTTCACAACAGTCGCCAGCCGTCCGATCTTGTCATCGAGATCACTGAATGACCCCAACATCAGCTCATTTTCACCATCTTGCCACTCTGATAGCTCATCTGTTATTGTATTCTCTTCTTTCACCGTCTCACATTGTAACTCACTAACTCTCCTGTTTTTAGCATAAGATTTATAGTTCATTTTTTCTTTACATGTATTCACTAGTGACAAACCATTATTAACTTACTATTAGAAAAAAAGAAAAGAAAAAGAAGTAAATTACTAAGAATATAAGTAAAATATAAAAATGAAAAAAACCTGAATTGATGAGGTGATAGATCACCAAGATCTCCAGTGCTTTGGCCCCTAAAAATATCAGCAATATGAAACTCAAAAAGAATACTAGACTCAGTGTAGACAAGGTGAAACAACGTGGTGGGTCGCCACCCAGCAATCCAGTGAAGTGACCTCTCGAAGCAGGAGGCCCAAGGGGCTGTGAAGACTGACAAAACGTCACTCTCTATGGCCACAGATTTCACCTTGTAGTACTCAGCATAGTGGCTTACGAGCTTTTGAGCTAGGCTTCTAAGATGACTTATATCATCTTGGCTCCTCGGGGGTTTGGGGGCTGTCCTTAGTTGTTTCAGAAGTTGGTTGAGTTGGTCGAACCAGGTATCATAAAACCTGGTAAAACTGCTGCTACTGCTCATTTTTTTTGATCAAGTTTGAAGGGGGCGAATTCTGTTTGCGGGTTTCTAGTTCTCTTCTGTTGTTTTCGGGTTAGATAAAGGAAGATTGTGGGTTTGGTTTGGCTTGGCTTCAATGATTTATGAATGCATGATAAATGAAAGGGTTAGACGACGAGTGGAGGGGCCTATAGGACACTTGGAGGGAGAACGTATCTGTTTCTGATAGGATTAATATAAAAATTGGTACAACCTACGAACATTGGCTTCAGTTTATGCTCCTTAACTAAATGGTTTTTAATTCGAATTCTCACGTGAGCATAAAACTATTTGAATATTAATATTTATTTTATGTATTCAATAGAACAACAACCAATAATTAATCAAAACTTATGGATTTGAAATATATTAGAAATAAAAAAATTGATACACTGCTTGATCATTGACACCATAACGTAGACATCATAAATTAAACTAAAGTAAAACTATTGTTTTTGTTATTTATTTATTATTTAAAATATTATTCATTTACACTCATTTTACTATTCACACGTACTTAAAAGTACTATTCCTTTCACTACGAAGTAACATTTTTATAATTTTTAAATATTTTTAATACATTTATGATAAAAGTTTTTCTAACATTGTACTTTAGTCCTTTTTTCTTTAAATATAGTTTTTTTCAATTTATAAAATATTTTTTATTTGGTTTCGATCCTTCTTTTTTATTTTATTTTTGTCACTTTGGTCCTTTTTTTTTAATAAAAAATTTTAAGGTAAAAAAATGCTTAAAAAACATTACAAAATAAATTTTTAGCTAAAAATCTATTGGTTTTAACATTCTTCGTACTATTAAATAATTTTTTTTTATAAAAAATTTATGAAAAATATGAAGAATAATAAATCAAATATAAACTTTGATGTATTTTTATAGACGCATAATATAATACGAGATGTCAAAATAAAATAATTTTATGTATTTTATCCTATCCGCGATTTAGTGTGTATAAAAAACATAATATATTACTATAATATATTCACGGATTTAATTGTGCTAATATCCAGTTGTACTTTAGTCATGTACCTTTAGCTGGATAGGATACAATTGCTTTGCTTTCTCACTTCCATTATTGATTTCTTGGTATTTGAGAAAACTACAACTTAGTGTTAAATATTCGATTTTTTTAAAATTTTTTTTTAAGTGTTTATATTCATCTTTTAAGTGTTCATATTCATTTGAAGATATAAAATATTAACGTGTTTGAAATAAATTGTTACGTAATATTTTTTAATTGTTACATAACATTTCATTATGAAAACATTAGTATTTCATATTCTCAAATAATTATAAACACTCAAATAGAAAAAAAAATTCAAAATTAGACATTGAAGTATGAAAATTTTACAGGTTGGATACCAAAAAAAAAAAAAAAGGACACTAAATTTATAGTTTTTTAAGAAATTTATTGTCTCCAAGTTGCAAATTAGTCCAATAATTTTCATTTGGTTCCATTACCAATAAATATTTGTTATATCATACAAGTGGTGTGTGTGTGTGTATATATACATATATATATATATATATATCCCAAAACAGAAAACGAATTCTAAAACCATATAAATTTAATATTATGCCATTTAGTTCAAATATATATAAAATCCAATTAATATTAAATCTAGAAAAACAAAACACATATAATGTCCACAAATTATTCAATTATAAGAGAAAATGAGTCTTCTAGTGAACTTCATCTTATTTGACAAAATCTTAATCAAGTAAATTGTCATCATACGTTTATTTATTTATTCATTTTGATCATGAGATTAATAATTGACTAATTACATCTTACAATTATAAAAATTAAGCCATCTTAGTCATTACTCAAGAAGTTAAAAATTCAATTAATTCAACTTATTTTACACATAATAGTTACATTGATTAATCATCTAGAAGTTCATAATCAATTCTTTAAAGGTAACACATGAACATGAATCATGCACAAACACAAAATATATATCCAAATTGAAATCAAGCAACATTAATTTGGTAGTATAAAACACAAACAACCACAAATAAAATTCCACAAGCACCAACAACCCACAAGTTTTCAACAACGAAAAACAAACACAACTTGAAAATCCAACAAAACCAGAAATATTGCAGCGGGCTAAGACCCTAGCTACTTTTGTCAGTTAATTCTAAAATTTTAACCACTTCTAATTAAGAAATAAATGAAGTTATGGCCCATAATTTAGATCAATCTAACAATCCTTAGTTGATTAGTTTAAGGATACAAAATAACATATCCTATATTATGCAAGAACGTACGTTCTTTGAAAGAAAAATCTCACACAATTTTATTTTATTTTATTTATTCAAATTCAACAAAAAGCCTCATTTTTCTATTACAAATAATGTTTAAATACCACTCATCTAGGACATGCAAATGCAGCTACTTCTTAAATAATAAGAAAAATATAAAACTCTAAAAATAAACCCTAATATACTTAGACTTAATAACTTAATAAAGACTAATTAACCTTATCTAAATTAAATATGGATTTTTTTAAATAACTATGGACTTTCTTATTTAATTATGAATCCATAACAAACATGAACTCCTAATTAAATATAGATCCAAATCAAATAACAACTAAAATGAAATCTAATTACAATTAAGGATCATTATGTGAAAAGGATAAATAAACGACTAAATAAAATAAATAAAATTAACTTTAAACTTCCAGCCCAAATAAATGGGCTTGATTTCTTCAGCTTCAAGTCGGCATGCACACTCTCGTTTCAAGCTTTTCAGATTGAAAGAACTCGAACTCGAGTTTTAAACCTTCCTTTTTGTGATCTTGTGGAAGCCCAACTAAGACTTTTCTAATCATCTCAACACCTCCATGATAATGCTCAAACACGTTCCTAAAAATGGCTCTTCATTAACATAATCTCCTCGTACAAAGACAAATGGCAATTTGTATGCCATAGTTTCACTATGTCTGCCAAGTCCAGTCGTCCAGTGTTTCTGCCGAAAAGAACACGTCTGGATTATAACAAGGCCTTTCTCCAAAGTAAGCAAAAACTCCAGAAACCATCTTGTCAAGTACATCCCTTCCTTCTAGTACCGAATCATTACAATTGCAAATATGGTCAACGGTATATTTTGGAGGTATTGAGCTAATACCGAAAGGAAACTGTCAAAAAATTATTTTCAGTCCTATAGCGACACCAAATCGCACGGGCACTGCCTGCTTTAATATGTGCAGTTGTACATGCTATACAAGAACAGTGTTGTAAGCAGTTAGTACTCCTGCATTCGTTAATATATTTAACGCATCCATCTCCCTTCTGGCAAGCTGGTGGCTTATTTCGTTCACACCCTTGAGACCAGTCCATTGAATTCCAACTCTTGTGGAATTTAGGCGTGAATTTTTCTTAGCATTGACAATCTGGCGATTGGCTGATGATGCAATTTCTATAGACATCACAAAGGCCCAAAGCATGACAGTAGTCTTTCGGCACAATAGGATAGAGCACCCACCATGTCTGTTCGATTTCACGACATTATGTAATCTAGGTCATAACTATCCTCGTTAATACATATTTATTTGGTAATTGTGTTTCCCATAACGATCTCTAGGAGAGGGTTCAGGACTCATCCATGATGATATTCGCCGATCAAGTCCAGTCCTCAAGTCTCATCCTTAAAAATTAACAGACATTCTTGTTATCCGTTGTCGGCAATGTCAACCTCATCATAGATTGAAGGTTGGTTCAAATCAACAAGAGAATTAGAATTTTCTCGTGTACCAAACTAAAAAAGATCTTCATCAAATTTTGGCGGTTGATTCCAACCCACAAAAAATAAATAAATAAATAAAATAATAAATAATAAATAATAAATAAATAAAATAAAAAATAAAAATTTTCAGCATCCTCTTTGAAAATTCAGCTTCAAGATTGTCATCTTGTCACTTAATTTTTTTTTTATTCTAATTTCAAGATTGAAGGAATTATTCCCTTGGACCTCATCTCTTTTACCCTCAAACTCTCGACCAGCTACTCGTCTTTTAGCATCGTCATGCTTTTCAAATGCCCTAATGAACATAAACTTGCACACTAACTCCTTCAATTAGTTTGATTGTTCTTCGCAAGCTCTTTCGTCATAGACATGAGCACAAACTTCACTTCTTTTAGATTAAACGAGTATGTGTCCTTGAATCCATTATACATAACTTACTCTTCACATTGTCATGTTCTTTCCAACAAAATATGGTAAGCCTCCATAGGCATCACGTCACACCAAATCTCGTCTTAGTACCTCTTTAGAATCAAGAATTATACAAGGCAACTCTTAGTCACCCTAATGTCACTAACCTTCCTCAACCAAGTTACCTTGTAAGGATTGGGATTATCAACACTTGGTAAGTTGAGCTTCTCCACCATCGTTGTCGAAACCATATTGTTGTCGCTACCCGTACTAATAACCAATTCACACACTTTGTCATGAGATGTGCACCGAGTGTAAAAGGTGTTATATGTCGACCAATTCTCCTCATGGATTGTCTCCGACTCGACATCTAAAGCTTTTCCGGTATGCGTCTTCACAAAATGTGTCAATAACACACATGCAAAAACTAACTTTTGTTCCGATTCTAAGTTGACACAAATCTTGTGAAGACAATGCATAAGTCAAATGCACATGCACAAAATATATATCCAAATCGAAATCAAGCAACACTAATTCAACACTATGCAATTCAAACAACCACAAATAGAATCCTACAAGCACCAACCAACCCGTAAGTGGTCAACAATCGAAAACAAACACCCATACACAACACAATCCGAAAATCCAACAAAACTCAAAAATATTACAATAGGTCGAAACCCTAGCTACCCTTGTTAGTTAATTTTGAATTTTAACCACTCTTAGTTAAGGTGTAGATTAAGTCATGGCCCAAAATTTAGATCAATCCAACAAGTCATAACCTTTTATTCAAGTTAGTCGAAATTCGCATACAAATAAGCAAAATAGTCGAACCCTAATTATATAGGATTAAGCCAAAACTTATGATATTCAATCCAATTCAAAAAGTTTCAATTAACAATAGAATAAAGCATAAATCAAGACTTGGCTTTTTTCATCGGAATATGTACGCTAAAACCCTCGGATATATATATAACACACATTAGTTGAGTATTAACACACCATCTTGAGTATTGAGCGTAAATGATCAAAACACCACCTTAGTCGATCAGTCCAAGGATACATAATAACATGTCCTATATTACACAAGAAACATAATTTTTTTAAGAGAAAAATGTCACACAAAAGGTTTTTTTTTTTTTTTTTTCATATTCAACAAAAACCTCCTTTTCTTATTAAAAAATATGTTTAAATACTACTCATCTACGCGCATACAAAGTACGACTACTTTCTAAATAATAAGAAATATAAAGCCCTAAAATAATTCCTAATCTACTTGGACTTAATAAATTAAGCTCAATTCAAATTTAGTAAAGGCTAATTAACATAGTCCAAATTAAATATAAACTCTTTATTTAATTATGAAGTCCTATTAAATATGGATCCACACCTAGGGGTGTTCGTTCG